CACCCCCCCCCCCCGCCCCGAATTGGGTCACTAAAATTAATTATCATATCCGCCCTGTTGCACTATCAATTCGATTTTTCGCTTCATTCGATTCGGATAACCGTGATTTTCAATTTTAACGGTTCGAACTGCCATCCCTACGATAAATTATTACTCTAAATAGTTTTTAAAAAAAATATGTATCACGAAGCAAGTCAAATAAATTCAATTGCCAGCGAAGTCAACCAATTTAAAATAGATAAAAAAATATATGTGTATTTTATTTTGGGTGCAATATTTAAACTCGTGAGCATGGTAACTCAAATGATATTATTGAATGTCATAAATGATTTCGTTTATATTTATTGAGGGTTCGTTTGACAGAATTTTTTTAATACCTTCTTAAAAAGGTTACTTTATGTCAATTTCTTCTAAAAGTTTTTCTAAACAACAAAGAGCTCATTTTATAAAGCGTTTGCTTTTTTTATTTTTTTATTTATTTATAGTAGAAGTGATTTTCAAAGAATTTATCTTAATTGATATTTGAAAACTAATTTCTTAAAGAGCTTTCTCTTTTAGGAAAGCTTTTAGAGGAAGTCTATTGAATAAATTTTTTCTAAAAATTATTCTAGTTAGATGAACCACATTTATAAAATTAATGAGCAAGTTTAAAAGAAGGTTTTGAGTCTCATAAACTCATCTTGGACTTCTTGAAAACCATGTCAAACTATCTCAAATAACTTCCAAAAATTATCTGAAGATGAGGTTGTTTAAACCCCACCTCCTCTTTTTCTTTTTTGTTTTTTCCCAAAAAAAAATGCATTTTGCAACATTGTTATGATGGAGAATATGTGGTAAAAAATAAGAAATTTTTTTGAATTTGCGTGTAATATTATTTTATTGAAAAATGTGTGGTTGAAATGAGGTCAAATCATTATTCAAGAATGCATTTTGACAAAAAAAAATATAGCTCAAACAAGGTTTTAAGAAGTAACTTCTAGCTAGACCAGTATTGAAAAATTAACAAACCCAATCAAATCGAACCGACTCAGGTCGATTTAGGTCAGTTTGACACATGTAATTGATTTGATTTGATCTATTTTTAAACAAAATCATGATGGTTCGGTTTAATCATGATTTGAAATTTCAAACCGTTGGTTAACTAAACAGATCCAACCTACTTACATGTTTATTTTTTTAAGAAAAATAAAAATCAAAAGATAAGCTATATCTCGATCACTTCTAGTGATGTTAGTAAGTAATAGCATTGAGAATTTTCTTTTACAAACTCACTATGTCTTAAATAGCATTTTCCCTACTCATGTAGGTAGGCTACATAAGGCATAAAAAAGTAACAAAATTCTTAAGTTTTTTGTTAACGTGTGTATATTAACTTGATTTTATTTGTTAGTCAACAATTTTTGTAATATAAAGTTATCTAGTTATTTTAGTTCCTGTAGTTTAAGTGAGCCTAAAACCCTGACAATTTTATTTTATTTTTTTAAAAAATCAATTTGAACGGAAAGTTCAAACCGACTAACCAAAAATTCACCAAAACCGATTAATTTGATTTTGGTTTTCGATTCGATTTAAAAGATAGAGCAGCGGGATGACAATTTGAACCGTTAAAATCGAAAATCGTGGTTAAAAAAATCAAACCGATGGTGCAGTGGGGCGAATATGGTATTTGATTTTAATGAACCGGTTCGTGGCGGTGCGAGTATAGTATTTATACCGTCGAACCTAAATCGAATATATTACCCGCTTAAAAAAAATCATTCTTTTATTAGGGATGACAAGATTTATTGAGGAGAAAGTTAACGAAGAGGTACATATTTATTATTTACTATATAGGAATTAATTTTGAATGCTAATCTATACTAGTAAGAGTTGTGGGGAAGAATAAAGATTGAATATGAGTTAAGGTTGAAACTTGTGAATTATTGAGCATGAATCAAGTAACTACAATGCACAAGAATCAAGAATGAAGGAAAAAATTAGTATTGTTATATTAATAATATTGTTTGTTAAATTTGTATTTTGCAATTGAAATTTGGGATAATGTTTGTATTTTCGTTTGAAATATTGTATTTTTGTTTTTATTGACTCTCTTTTCATAAATTGTTTTATATTAATTTGACAGATGGACCTATAAAAAATAATTTATTTTTGTGGTTATTAATTGAATCGAACCGATTTACGTGGTTGTGGTATGACAAAAAAATTGACGATTCGGTGATGATTTTGGCCGAACTGAATCGAACTGAAACCGAACCATTGCCATCCCTATAGAGTAGGTTGGCTTGGATTGAAATTCATCTAAACCAATTAATTTTAGTTTTGGGTTGAAATCGAGATCGACTTAAACCAAATCTCGTCCAAGCCTACTTCTAGCTTTTCAAAAGCTACGTTAAACGGACTTTGGGTATCGATTAATTTTCAAATGAAATAGTTAAAATTCCATCCTAATAATGGCCTATTTGTGCCCCTTTAATTTCAAAAAAGTGTTATGAAATAGTGATTTATATTGAAATGTGTGGTTAAGAAAAATGAAATGTTTTTGATTTATGTGTAATATTATTTTAATGAATAATATATAATTGAAAATAAGTACTATTGAAAAAATAATATGATAGAATGTGGTAAAATGATTGACAAACAAAGGTTAAGTAATATCATGATTAAAACCTGATCTTAAACCTTTGTATTAAATATAGCTCTCGTCTGGCTTCTATTTTATGAAGTGAAAATGAGTGGAATAATATATTTTTTTTAAAAATGAGTTGTTAAAAAAGAAAAAAAAAACAAGCTTTTTATTTATATATAATATTATTCTATGAAAGATCTTATCATTAAAAATAGGACAGAGAAAAATGAGATGAAATTTAATTTGGGAATACAATTTTAACATTTTCATCCTAAAGCTATCTGAAATTCTGAATATCCTCTTTGAAGGGTTCGGATTACAATCCATAAGTCTGTCCTGTCCATTTCCCTGAATCCAATTTATCTCAAACTATTTCTACATCCATTAGTTTTCCCACCCAAATATCATCGATGTAAACCCCAATTCAACTTCAACCAATCAATATCCCAGAACTTGCAGAATTTCCGTGTTCTTTCTGCAATTTCATGCTTATTTAATCTTCTGTGCCTAGGGGTTTTCCCAATTACTCGGTTAAACATTTGATCGGTCGAATAAGATAAAAGTGTGGTGTTATAAATGGATTGGAGCAACGTCACTGCGGAGGATCTGATCGAGGCACTGCGGCAAGTGGACTGGTCATCGCCGCCCCGGCCTCTCTCTGAATTCTTCTCCCGATTCACCGTCCCCCGTACCGTCTCTAAATGGGACAGTCGACTCAAATGCAATCTCTACTAGTATGATCCTATGTTTTATGTATTTGTACCGTTATTCTTATCGTATTTCTGCATACGCGAAATTAATTTTGTGATATCGTTTGATCTCTTGTTAATTATGATTTTGAATATTTGTTTCCTAATTGGAGATTAAAAAAGAGAAGAAATGAGAAGTCGAGCTGGTTTTGATTTTATTATTTTCTTTATATGCAAATTATATTCTAGAATATAAATTTTAAGTCTCCTCGGTAGTCATCCTTTTCTTTTATCTAGCAACAGAAAGTGATAAAGAGTTATTTCGTTGAAAAATACTGGATTATTTACATTTTTCTAAATTATTTCTTGTTTTCTTGTAGCTATCGGACCAATTATTTCATAATGATTGTGTTTATTCTGGGTAAGAGAGCTAAACATGATGGTCGATACATATTTCATGTACATGTATGCACTGGAATATTTGTATCAGTCATGCGAACTAATTAAGGTATTCATGTGTACTATGTAATTTAGGGGTGGGATTTCTTAGGAGACCGCTTGCTATTGTTGCAGCATTGATGACTGCTTTAAGCATTGCTTTTCTGAATGATAGGTATGCTTGCTATTACACGCCTTTACAACCAATCTATTGGCATGCAGAAGAATCCTATAATTTCACTATATTGCTGTTTGTTTTCTGCAGTTGGATGAATTTTGTTAATTGGATGTTTCATGCTATGTTACTTGCTCTGGAATGCCAGTCTCCATCTTGCATATTGGGATTTTTATACTAGAGATAATCAAAGAAGGAAGCAATATGTTGGTTTATATGGATTATTATGTTCCAACCTTTACATTTTAATTTGTGTAGTTTTAATTTTTTGGTACTTCAAATTTAATTAAAAGGCACCAAAAGTGGGTTCTTCTCCCATGGGTATTGTTCCCTTTATCCTTCTTTCTGATTCGTTGACCAAAATTTCCAAATTTACATGCTTGCTTTAGTCTCCTTCTCTTATCCATGTTCTCCTTATCACTTATTTTATCCCCTCATTTGATACCCACAATCAATGCCTTAACAGCATCCTGCTCTTAGTCTAAAGACAACCAATGTACTCAACACATGGAATCTTTTCTTTTTAATTTAAATCATGGTTGCTATTCTCCCTTTTTTGCTGACTCTATTCTGTTTCAGTCAATATTACTCATAGTCCCATAGCTTGGGTTCACAACAGCGACAAGCAGTGGTTTATAACCTTACCATGCACAATTTCTCTTGGCTCTCTTTCAGTCAATATTACTCAATGTTCTGTAGCTTGGGTTCACCACAGCAACAAGCAGTGGTTTGTAGCCTTACCATGTATGATTTCTCTTGGCTTTCTCTTTCAGTCAATATTACTCAATGTTCTGTAGCTTGGGTTCACCACAGCAACAAGCAGAGGTTTGTAGCATTACCATGTATGATTTCTCTTGGCTTTCTCTTTCCCTATATTCTAAAAACATAAAAACTGAAAATATCTGGATCAGTTCCATGCCCATTCAGATTCCCCACCATTTTCCACTGTTGAAAATTCTCTTCATCTCCTTGGACATCCCTCTTCAGCCCCATCCCACACAAAATAACGGGCAATGATTTTCTTCTCTGGCATTACATTTCAATTTAAATGTATTCCTCGGATTCTTCCTTCTGTGTATCTTTCTGCCGTAATAATTTCATGGTTGATTTGTTATACTGTTTTGTTGTAGTATTTTACTCATTTGTCTTGGTCGAACTGTTTTTAAATCAAATCATTTGGTCTCCAATAATGCCGCACCATGTGGCGCCCTGTTGTTCTGTTATGAGTTCCTAGTTGATGTTGCTCCGTTTAGCCTTATCATATATTGCTAATCCCTGTTCCTACAGCTTTGCAGGTATTTTCAGTGAAAAGGTGACAAGAACTGTCAGACAGTTTTCTCCACATTTAGCTGCCAAAATGAGGCCTCCTCTTAGGTGAGTAATTTTCATCTCTGAGATTATGAACCATAAGGATTCTGACTTGAATATCTTATTTCATCTAGGCCTGTAATTCGTGGGCGCCCATCTTCCAAAAGAGCAATCTATATATGTGGACAGCCTCGTTGGGTATTTGTTTTGGTATTCTCTACAGGTATGGAACAGTGATTTCCATTGTCGTTCACCTATTGTTCATGGCTTGAGCTATTGTAATTTCAGCTCTCAAGTGTAAGCAAACGTGATTTCTCATTCGTTCTTTGTGCAGTGAGTTTCATCCTGTGGTTTGTTTCTTGTGCCCTTCTCACTGTCTTGTTGGCATTGGCTATCGGCCTTCTAGGTAAATCAATGCTTCTTATAGTGAAGATTCTTTTCCAATTTCCGTGTTATCTCTAACTTCCCCTCTCCTCCTCTCTCTCTCTCACACTCAGCCACCATTGCACACGCAAGCTTTAGGGTGCCCAACTTGAAAGCTCGTCTGAACACATTCCGAGAGGAATTTCGTACAGTTTGGCGAAATTACAGTGAGCTGTAGCTTATGGGAAGCAGCACGCATGTCTGTTACTTTGCCTTGACCTGCCTTTATATTTACTACCCCGATGTCCTTTTTCATTTTCTTTCTCCTATTCCATTTATATTTTTTTCATGTATATTCTGCCATTCTCTTATGCTCACTGTGTTGCATATTGCAGTAGGTTTTACGTTTACCTGTTTAAGTCTCGTCTTCACATTGCAAATTAAAATAAATGGCAAGGCAGAATTGGTTGAAAGCACACTGATGGGTAGCTTTTGATTGGGTATTTGCTAGCTTCTTCATAACACAGAGATGGATGGGGTCGCTTTATTTTGAAAACCTTGATCTTTGTGTAAACAATTATTACCTAATTTGAAGAACAAAAATATAGTGGCCTGTAATGTGGCTCTCTTATATATTATAGAATGGTCATGTCATGTGCGTGGCAGTAGTAGAGGTCAACTAATGGAACTCTCACGGTTTTGGTGGTGAAGATGAGGCAGAAAATTAAAGAACAAAGACAGATTATTTAACTGAAATTCTATTGTATTATTGATTCACGTATTTCCTTCACCTCCCTGCTTCCGATGAACAAATTTAAGTCAAAGTCTAATGCTAACTATGGAGATTGGAGTCATAAAAAGGAGAGAGGTTCAAAGCCAGGATGGCTTGGATGTCATAGAAAGTTTTCAATTTTTAGACTACCTTTCTCTCAGGGAGCCATATGAATTGGTCTGTCTTGTTTGGGGTATTTTCTTCGAACTCAGATATCTGGTTGATATTTTTGGTTTTAGGTCATCATTGCCTTTAATTTGGAATTGGTTAGGTTTCAACTTGATATGTGGTGATAATTGGATGCATATGATTGTAGTTTCTTGGAGCAATTTACTGCTGATATTGTTTTCGCGGTCCTCACTTTTAAGTCTTACGATAAATCTGTTTCTTTCCCCTCTGTTTTATTTACTGAGCTTTTCTATTAGCACGTGACAATGAACTTTCTTATTTGAGCTTTCATTATTAAGCACCTAATATTTGTTTACTGAGGAACATACAGCTATCACAGTTCATTGTCTTTTCATAATGAGAAATATATAGCTAGATTACCGTCGATCATTTGGTGTTACATAGGCTTCTGTCAGAAAATGCATTTTATTTCTTGTGATTCTCTATTAAAACTCGGAAGCTTATGTTGTTGATCTTTTCTTCTCTGTTGTAGTGGGCCTTGTTTCGACTGTGGAAATAATAATACATCATGTTCGTCTTCAATTTTTCTATGCCAATGGGGCTAAACGTGAAGTTTCATCGACCCAGCCGCTAATACATTATGGGATGCTAATTATGTTCACAGATGAGTAGGTTTCTTTGATTTTGTTTTCGATAAATGGAGTGATGTAATTTATAGTTGACTCTGGGAAATATTTTACGATTTATATATGCAGACGGTAAAAAATTTCTTATATTGAAATGTACTGGAGTCCATCCTTACTGTTGTAAAGAATACGATGTTCCACTCGTTCGCATGACTATACAGATGGGATCTTAAAATTAGATTTTTAGTAAATTTTAATGAAAAAATGATGAAATGTGTAATTGAAAAGTTGTGAATCTCATGAAATATGTGGTTAAAATTAATTATTCACTTTGACTTAAGATTAAAATTTAGATTTTAATTTTTACCAAAAAGTGCTAATATTCCCATGTTTGACAACCAATCATGACCTTTAATTTAAGCAAATTCAACAGTTAATATTTCATGGATCTTAAGTGATTATAACTCACTCTCTCATTATTCTAGTAAAATACATATTGATCGCTAGATTTGTTTAAATTAAAGCTTACGATTATTTGTCAAAAATACTTGTTAAATTCATGTGTTGGAAGAACGTTTCCCATTATTTCATAATTGGAAAATATTCATTCAGCCAATTTCAAATCTATTAGCCTTCTAATCTCTATATGATTTAGTTAAATATATATATATATATATAAATTTTTTTTTTCAAACTCAATTTCAAATACACATTCTCATAATGAAATATTTCGTAAGTAAATTTATTATTTTTTTTTTCTATTTTCTAACCACAAATTCTTAAAAAAAAATTTAAAAAAATCATTATTTTAAAATTCGTTTCCCCAACAGAAATCTTTGTCAACATGGGTAAATGTCATAACAAATTTTCATTCCAAAAACTGATTAGCTTTAGACCAAAGGGGAATAACATAGTTATGACGAAGATTATATTTCATAAATTTTGGATTTTATGAAATGTATAATAAGAATTTATATTTGATCAAATAGATTCTCACTTATATTTAGCCTCGGGCTCTATTTTAATGAAATTTTGGAAAAAATATTTTTTGAAATGTAATTTTAGGAGAATGCGGAGTCAAAGAAAAATAAAAAAAAATTTAAATTTACGCATAATATTATTTTATTAAAGAATGTATTATTGAAAAAAAAAATAAAAAAAAATACGCGTGATTGCCATGCATTAATGTAAACAATTTCGTGCCTATTTCTACCCCTTGTTCGTGGAAAGCCATAACGAAATTGAATCAGAATAACACGGCAGATGAAAGAGTCAATGTAATGCTCTACTCAATTTCTTCCCTATTTTCATTTATTAATAGGCCCACTCGTTCCTAATATCCCTCCAATCAAATTGTTCATCTCATCTCAAGTCAATTAATGAAGTCAACCATCATAATCAACGTAAATCATTATAAAGACATACATTGTCCTCTTCTTCACAACTTCAAGCTTCATTACAGAGAAAAAAAAAAAAAAAAAAAAGAAAGAAAAGAAGAAGAGAGAGAATCAAGAAAATGGCTCCTTTGCCAAAGAAGACCATAATGCATTTCATTCATCCTGGCCATCAATTAACAGCAATCGATGGCCACGATCAACAGTATCGTTGTGATGGGTGTAAAACTCTTGGAACCGGAAAAAGATTCCGATGCCACGGATGTGATTTCGACTTGCACGACTACTGTGGAACATGCCCCGAAACCCTCTCTTCAACCATGCACCAACACCCTCTCAGCCTGGTAATCCGAAAGGCACAAAGCGCACGCCAAATTGCTCGTGTCTGCGACCTGTGTTCCGAACCTGTTGAGGGCCTGTTCTACAGGTGCAAGGAATGTGAGTTTGATGTGCATCCACTCTGCACACAATTTCCAAACCAATTGCAGCACGCCCTCCACAAAATCCACCAGTTGACACTGGAATCCAACTCTTTGCCTGGATTCTGTGCTGTCTGTAAAAATTTGTGCAAGGGATGGCGTTACAGGTGCCGGGCTTGTCATTTTGACATACACCTGGAATGCATATTAGTACCTATTGTGCAGTGCCCAGAAAAGCCCCCAAAGAATGCGCAAACTGGTCAGCGTGGAATCCCCATGTTTGATCAAGGCATTCCTTTTCGGCCCCCACCGCAATACAGTGGTTATTATGCCCATGGCCATGGATTCCCCTATGGCCATGGCCCTGTCCCTAACATGTACTATGGTCAGATGTATGGGCATCCGGTGTATCCCAACAATTTTGTGCAGCAGAATCAAGCGGCGGCGGGTGCTGCTGCAAATAGTCAAGGTGGTAAGCGTTTGGGGCAGACGGTGTTTTCTCTTGTTGGACAGCTTGGATTCGGAGTGTTATCTAATATGATATTTGGAGTGGATTTAACTTCTGTTTTTGCTTAACGTTCTTGTTGCATTTACCATGCTTTTGCTTTGAGCTTTCCTTCAATTCTAATCAACTGTTGATATGTTAAATAAATATATTTCAGTCATTTCATTTTAGTTTTAGTTAAACTATTTTAACTTAGTGATTTCATATATTTTTTTTTTAGTTAAAAGTTTTTGTCTCTATTATCATTGATATTAACAAAAAAAAAAAAAAAAAGTTGAAGCAGTTAGAGAGGATATTTGGTTCGACCTTCTTAAATTTTTATGCCAATGTGCACGGCGTAGAAAAACGAAAATCTTAGCTGACAAACGAAAATCACAATCGGTGGACCGAAAACGAAAACAATATTATATTTTGGACCCGAAACGAAAACAATAATCACAAAAATGTTCAATAAAAAATAAGGTCACTTAGATTAAATTAAGAAATGATTTAATGCGAAACCCTACAACAAAATAAAAAAGAAAAAAAAAATTAGGAAAAAGAAGACCAAGTCAATTGGAAGAAGGGTTTTTCTATTGTGACATTTCGGTGTACTGACCTCCTCACAAGATGGAGGGTCCACGACACTGGGTCGTTAGTACAAGTAGCAAAGCACAAGAAGAATGGTAGTTAGACTAGGAGTTTGACGGCAGATTGATTGAATCATGAATCCATGATGGTAGAAGAAGTCCATTTAATTATAATTTTATCTCAGCTTCCCATCCATTGCCTGGTCCAGTCATTATAATACTATATAAAAATGCAATTGTAAAATATCAAATTTATAGATTTATTTTAAAAAATCAACTCATACTTCATATTTATCTTTTCTAAAAATATATACATGTATATGAATTTATATTAGAAAATAATAGTGATTATTACAGAATAATTGAGGGCATTCTCTCTAACCTTATATTTTTCCAAAATAAAGTTAAACGGTAATCTCTCACATTTGAGAGAGAGAGAAAAAATAAAAATAAAAATTCTAAACTTCATTCCTCTCAATGAAAAATCAACACGTACGACAATGAATTTGGTCCCAAATTGAGCAACTTCATCTCTCCCTAATCAATTGTAATTATTTTTGCATAAAATAGCAGACTTCAAACTATGATAATATATTTAAAGATGATAAAAAGTTTTACGAACTGTCAACCTTTTTTTTTTCCTGAAATTATATGAAATTTTCATTCACTCAAACTTCTCAAGTATCGCAAGAAAAATAATACATTAAACTTTACTGAACCCACTAATTTCTACTCTTCGTACAACCTACAAAGTGAGCGAGAAGCCCCCATCTTTTACAAAGTGAGTGAGAAAGACTATAATGCTAGACTTACATATTTACCTCTAAATAACCCTAAAATCACGTGACCCAAAAGTAGGCACGCACAGAAGCAACAAGCGCTACAATAGCTAAGTTTAATTATTTAGGTTATTAGTAGGGTCTATGAATTGTATAATTTAAGATTAATTAACCTTTTAATTTATAAAATCAATGAGGTCGCAATACCAATTTAAAAATGGTTGCACGAAATGAGTTTAATAAATTTAATTTATTGTTATCAACTTTACTTATTTTTTTAGCTATATTTTTCAATCATCGGGGTAGGTTCTTAGTATATGTTTCAATGAATCAGCGCCTATTAAAAATAGTACTCAAAATAGTTAGTAAAAAAATGATTGCTTAAAATGATTTTAATAGTTTTATTTTGCTCCCACTAATTTCAATGTCAACTATGAAATTGTAATTGATACCAGTTGAGACTCACATGACAGTTAAATATAAAAATATGATGAATTTTCAGGTCGTTACAAGTTGTATTAACATATTGTTATATATATATTTTTTTAACTGAATTTGTGAATTGAGATTTTGATATTCTTAATTGAAATTATATATTATAGTTGTTGCTATTAATACAGAGTCACTACACTAATCCTCAATTATCGCATTTATAGTCAATTCTTGTTTTATGTTGATAATTGATGTTCATTATGTGTTAATTTTCTCTTTTGATATAAATTGATCAATTTTTTAAATCTACGATTTGACTTTATTTCTATGAATGATGCGAATGGACAAATAATGCAATACAAAACTAGAATACTACAAAAGATTGCATCAAACATAGAAATATCTCTATCTCGTATGGGACTTAGTGTTGTTTGTCATTTGAGTTAAAAACATAGTTTACTCTTGAAATAAACACAATATATATATATATATATATATATATATATATATATAACCACAAGATTTTGATTAAAATGAGCAATTTATTCCATTAAAGAATCAACAACGTTTCATCGTAATCATAGCATACCATGTTATGATAAAAAAATACAAAATAAAGACGTAATATATAACCTAGATAATTTGAAACTAAAGTTGATATAATCCTTTACTTGAACCTTTTCAACGATTTCGGACATCATCTCATTCTTCTTCAAAATTATCAAAAGCCTGCAAGAATTTCTTGTAACTGCTATGAAGAAAATTGATGTTTTTGATTTGGAATATCTCTTCTATGATTTTCTATTATGTAGTATGGAATCCCTTCTTTATTTGACCTAGTTTACTTGTCTTGAAAATCGTATCCCCAAAAATTCGCAAGTCTACTTGATTTAGGGGACAAAGCTTTCTAAGCCCATGTTTGAGCCCCCTCCTTTTTTTGGAAATTTGTTTTAGAATTGTACTTTTTTTAGAGAATGTTTGATTAAAAAATAAGAAATTTTTTTGAATTTACGTATAAAATTATTTTATGAGATAATGTATAGTTGAAAATGAGTTTTGAAAAAAAATGGAGCTCAAACAAGGACTAAGTTTTGTCTTGCGGCCTCAGTGAGACCACCAACTAATAATTTTAGCCTCCACTACGGCAACACTCGCAGTCCCTTATTTTTAAAACTCGCACAATTTGATCTCTAGTCCCTAGTTTTCATACAGGTTTAATCCCTCAACCTTAATTTCGAATCAGGTCTTACTGTTAAGCAATCAATATCAGATCAACCTATCACAGATCATGCTCTAGCAATCAGCCAGCAATTAAATAAATGATAGATAATTAGGGATAGTGTTTCGACAATTATATATAATTAGCCATGTATAGTTTGATTTACTCTTTACAGCTTGTTTGTATTTTAGGAAAACTCTCTTGCTGTATCTTTCCATTCTTTGTAAGAAGTCTATATAATACATTATACACAGCAGGCTATAACACATTGGTTAAGCCTCTTCTTCCTTTATTCTTTCATGGTATCAGAGCATTATCGGCTTACGCCTGATCCCTACATTATGTCGTCTTTCGCTGCTATTTTCATTCCCCCAAACAATCTCGTACAATTTGTTTCTGTGAAACTTAAGGGACTTGCTTCTTATTTAAACTGGTCATCTCAAGTTGAAGATGCTCTTAGTATTCACGATCTTTTGGGCTATGTGGATGGTACAGAACCGTGCCCAAATGAATTTTTACCTGTTGTTGAAGTTAAAACAACTCGTGAAACCAATCCCGATTTCACTTTATGGAATCGTAAAAACCGGTTTGTGCTGGTTTGGATGAAATCTACTCTATCAGAGAAGGTGTTATCTATGGTCTATGGCTTGAAGACAGCCAGGCTAGTGTGGGTTGCTTTAGCCCAACGTTTTGCCTCTCCTTCAGCCTCCAATGTCAACCAATTAAAACGTCAGTTGCAAGGTTTGCAGCAAGGAGGGAAGAGCTGTTCGGATTTCATTGAACAAGCAAAAGCCCTTGCTGACCAATTAGCATCAGTGGGAAAACCTGTGGATGAAGAAGATTTAATCTCTCATATCCTTGGAGGACTCAACACTGCCTATACTCCATTCATCTCAAATTGCTATTTTGCTCAACGTGAGAAATCCTTGTCTCTGTCTGATTTCCAATCTGAATTATTTGCCTTTGAATCACTCCTCGAAAATCAACAACGCAGTGTCCAAACTGAACATAATAGTTTTGCAATGTTGGCTAATAAATTTGGAGGAGGTAAAAACAAATTTCAGAAGAAGAATGCTAAAAATTGGCAACAACAACGTTCTACTCCTGCCCCTCCAATTCAAAAATATGTCGAGGGCAATAGCAATAACAATTTTGTCTCTACCAATAGTGCGAAGTCAGATTCCAATAATGCACGTGTACCTGCCTGCGCCAGTGATCCAGATTTTGACCTGTATGCTTGTCAAATATGTGGTAAGAAGAACCACATGGCACTTGATTGTTTCCATAGGTATGATTATAACTACCAAGGGCGACACCCTCCCCAACAATTAGCAGCTATGGTGGCACATTCAAATTCTCTCCCTGATGAGAATACCTGGTATGTTGATAGTGGTGCAAACCAACATGTGACTGCCGACATAGCTAATCTTCATTTGGCCGAACCATACAAAGGAGATGACAAAGTAGCTGTGGGTAATGGTAATGGTTTACAAATTAAGCATACTGGTAGACTTATGTTACATGCATCTAAATCCACTCTACAAATGAAACATGTTCTTCATTGCCCACAAGCAGCAGTAAACCTTTTGTCAATTAATCGATTTTGTATAGATAATAATTGCTATTTTGTTCTTACTGGCTCTAATTTCTTTGTTAAGGACAACCTCACGGGACGTACGATGTTAACAGGCAGGAGTGAAGGTGGACTATACCCTATTCAAGTTAATCGATAGTCCATTAATAAGTTCCGTTCAAGCGTTGCTCTTATGGGTGTTCGTACTACGCTTGATGTTTGGCATGCAAGATTGGGTCACCCTTCCTCACATATCACCAAAAGTGTTGTCAACTCCTTTAATTTACCTGTTTCTGGTTCCTCCAGTTTGAATAATGTTTGTTTATCTTGTTTAATAGGAAAAGCTAAGCAATTACCATTTAATAAGTCCTCACGTGTGATGTTGTCTCCTTTGGATCTTATTCATTCAAATGTTTGGGTTTCACCTATTGTGTCTTCTCGAGGTCATCGGTATTATGTTCTCTTTATAGATGACTACTCCCGTTTTAGATGGGTGTACCCTATTTCTAATAAATCTGATGTTTTTTCCTGTTTTGGACAATTTAAATCCTTAGCTGAAAATCACTTTAATACAAAAATTAAACAATTTCAAT